TGGCTCCATTTCAAATAAAAAATCTTGCAAAAAACCTGGAATTTCCTGCCAGGCAGAAACCCGGAGGTTTGACTCTCCCAGCGCTGGTTCTGCTGCCAGGGCGGGACAGGAGGGACAGGGGACGGGACAAACACACACACATGCACGTCCAAGGCACACGCAGGCGTACGGCCGTGCTGGCTCACAGACCGGCGGGTCCCCCCCAGCCTCCCTCCTCACCCCAACACAGCCAGGAGAATTTGGGCAGCTCCTGGGCAGGTCTGACCCTCCAACCCAGCTCCCCGCTGCGGGGGCAGGATGCTGGGGCTCCAGTGCACCCCCAAATCCCAGTGCTGGCCCCCCCCACTGCCACCGTGGGGTTTTCCCCAGGGATGTGGCCCCAGTCCCTCACTCCCCATCTGCTGCGGGGAAGGGGCCGGGGCGAACCCCGCTTGGGTTTCCCAGCTCCTGCTTTGCACCCACGTTTTGGGGCTGGGACCCCCACAACAGACCTGCCCGGCCCAGCTTGTCTCAAGGACAGCGGTGGGACACAGCCACAGACCGAGGAGGGCTGGGCCGCACACGGAGTGGGGAAGGTGGTACCGTGCCTCAGTTTCCCCAGCCAGAGGAGGTGCCGTGGGGTTAAGGAGCAGCCGTAACCCACAGCCAAAGCAGCACAGTGCAGCCTCAAGGGAGGGAATAAACATGCACTAGAGAGGTTTCGCCCCAAAAAAGCCTTTGAGGGGAGACACCAGCTCAGTGGGGAGCATCCTCCATCCCCCAGCATCATCATGGGACCACGGCCAGCCCTGGTTTCGCCACCCTGCACCGGCCAAAACCCAGGGGACGAGGAGATGGAGATGGTGGGGCTGGGCCGGGACTCGGCACAGGCATCTGTGGGCAAGGTGGACTGAGTCACGCCTGGGGAGGGAAATCCCTGCAGCCCCTGAAACCAGGGGCAGGAACTCTGGGAGCTGCAGTTTTGGGGTGTTTGGGGACAAGGGCAGGGAGGGGGCTCACGCTGTGCCGCAGTGGGGGTCCCGCCTTGGTCTCCAGCAGTAGATGGGAGAAGCATTTCCAGGTGGCTTTTATACACCTGGAGCTCTTTTCACCTCTCTTCATCCTCCAAATTCCCCTGGAAGGGGTGAAAGCCGCAGGAGCAGACCTAACCCGCTGCAGCCGGGTCACCGTGGGGCGGCCCCAGGAGCCGGGGGACACGGTGGGAGGGGAAGTGCTGGCTGGCTGGTACATTGCACAGTTTCCTAGAAGGAGCAGAAAAAGTCCCAAACCACTGAAAAAATTACCCCTGCTCCCTTGCTGCTTGAAAAGGGCATTGAACCCGCAGCGGGGGCCCGTGCACCCCCATGTTGGAAGACGCTGGGTGCCACCGGCTGCGTCCCAGCAGCCTCTTGGGTTCGTGGGGGATGTTGTTCGCCAGGAGCAAAAACGAACCCAAGGTCCCTTTTTTTAAGCCACCGCCGACAAAGTGCTGTGTATGTAAGCCGTGGCATCGAGGGACTGTCCCCTCCTGCAGGGACAGCACTGGCACAGAGCAGCAGATGCCCTCCGGTATCACTTGCGAGCCGCAGGGAGGGGACATGTGCTCCCCGCTCCGGTCCTTTCCCAGAAGAGTTGTCAGGTCCTGCCCGTGTTCCCAGCATGAGGCCGGGGAGCTGCTGGCCGCCAGCCTGGCCACGCCACGCAAGGTAGAGGGGAGCATGTGCCACGCTGGTGACTGTTCTCTTATCCCAGGAATGGCTGTCACCTCCTCCACGGAGCCCCAGAGCCCAAAACCAGAGGGGGGCAAACCCATGGCCCCATTCCCCCTGCCTGGGAGGAGGCGGGTGGTGGGTCAGGGCTGGGGGGCTGACAGGGCCCTTCAGGGTCCCCTCCAAAGGGGAGAATCTGTCCCCAAAGGCATCAGCTGCCTGGGGAAAAGAAAAAAAACCAAAAACCCAACACATTTCAGAGCGCTTGGAAAGCTGCCGGCTGCCCACTCAGGCACAAGGGACAGAGGAGCAGGCGGCCACAGGGCTGCCAAGGTCTGGGGGGGCTGAGTGTGATGGCAGAGCTGCTTGGGGACATGTCCTGTGCCACCTTGTACCCCTGTTTCTGCAGCCCCAAAGGCGCAAGGGGGGATAAGCACGGGATGAGGCAGCACCTCCTGGGGATGGAAAACGCAGCCTGTAGCCCCTCCGGAAGGGTGGTCCATGCCGGGGTTCTCCGGTGCTGGTGCAGCCACGGGAGAGTGCCTGGAGCACCAGTGAGCAGCATCTCTGCTAAGCTGCTCCGGCTGGAGTGTCTGGGCAGGGGTAAGGACATGCTTATGTTACAGCAAAGCCCCAGCGATGCTCTGAGCAGGATCTGCTGCTCGGGAAGACAGCGGCGGCTGGGGACATCCCCGTCCTCACCCAGTGGGGACGTGGCTCCCGCCCAGACTCCATGGACGTTTCCTGGCCGAAGCCACATGGCTGCAGATGCCGTAGGAGACCCCCAGACCCTGATCCCCTGTGGCTGGTTTCCGAGGGCCAGTGCAATCACCACCCCTACTCTCCAGCTTCAGAAACCAGTGCCAATTTTAAGCAAACTGTAATGGGAACTGAGGTCCTAAAGCTCCTGAGCTCCTCAAGACTCAGGGGCTGGAGGAGACCAGCAAGGGAGAGGGCGCAGGGCGAGCCATCTTTTCCTTGGGAGCAGCGGGCGAGACTGCGCTGAGCCAAAGAAAAGGAGTTATTTCCCTTCAAACATAAGGCCGCCGCAGCCCCCTCCGTGCCACAGCAGAGCACCCTGCGGCCTGTGAGCCCGTGCCCGCTCCAGCTCCAGGACAGATGCCATCTGTGGTTTTTGGGAAGGGGTCAGCCCCACAGAGGGGAGGCTGCCAGAGCCCTGAGCATGTTACCTGCTCAATGCAGGACATCTGCAAATCCGTTCTCCTTTGGGCTCTCACCAAAGCCTTTGTGACACCTTGGTCTGCACCCCACCAGCACCTGGGGAGACGAGCGATAAAATTACCGACAGGTCCAGGTCACAGCTAAACCCGCTCCGCCAGACTGGGCTCAGCTCTAGGCGTTCGCTGCAGCCTGCTCGCCTGCAGACTTTGACTCGCAACGAGGCAGCTGCGGCTCATGGGCGAGTAAACACGAGGCCCCCGCACAGGGAGATGAAAGCAGGGTGCTGCCTGGGCGGCAGAGGGGAAAAGGCGGAGGCAGAAGTAGAGAAAGGCCGAGTGCCGGCTGCGGCGGCTTTGCAAACCTGTCTGGGCAACATCCTGCACTGCCGCAACGCTGCAGAGGACAGGCTCAGCTGCAGCGGCACCTCCGGGCCCCGTCGGCTCTTCTCCCCTAAAGGTGCTTTTCCTCCTCCTCCTCCTCCTCTCTTGGCGGAGCCGGTCTCGCATGGAAGGAGCCAGATCTTTCCCCCTCATAAAGGAAGGGAGGGCAGAGGAAGACAGCACCCTGCAGCCCTGTGGGTGACAGACGGATGGGTGCTGAACACCGCCGGACATAGCGCTCACAGCATCCGAGGTCGGTATGAAAGGAAAAGCAGATGAAAAGTGACATGAACTGACCTAGCACCACTCACCACCCGTTTGCAGCCCCACTGCAACCCGGCACTCAAGTCCTTGCGGGTTTGCGCCTTTCCCTGCTTGTGCACAGGATCTGGCCTCGCTCCTGGAGCACACCAGGGGCTGGGAGGGGGTGCCGCACCCTCTCCCAGGCAGCGATGGGTCTCAGCTGCACCCTCTAGCAGCAACCAGCCACGGGGATGCGGTTCCAGCTGAGCTGCACCCGCAAAATACTGGGAGAGGGGCCAGAGGGTGCTTGGGAGGGCCCAGCACCTCTGCCATGCGAGGGGAATGGGCAGGACCTGGTGCTGCAGGCAGGGCACTGCCAGGTCCAGTACAGGCAGGAGCTATGGCTGGGGAGCCCGTTAGTCCCCTCCTGGCCAGGAAAGTAACTTGCAGACCCAGAATGCAGAGCCTTGTCCGATCTAGTCTGGCAGCCGCGCTGGCTGTGCCCACGGCTCCTTTCAGTGGCAGAAAGAGTCTGTCAGCAAAGCTTGAATTCACCTCTCCTGCCCACATCCACCCAACTTTTAGAGCTGGGAGAACAGCTCAACCCTTGGGTACAGGGACATGGGTGAGACAAGTCAGGACAACCCCAGCCTGCTGGTTGAACTCCAGCACCTGCCTGCTCTGCCCTACAGCCCTGGGAACAAGCGTGGGGCTTGGAGCAGCCTGGACCTGGCACCTTGAGAGCAGGAGGAATGAAACCTTACAGCAGTAGAGCCAGGAGCACAGGAGCACACACCCAGGAGGTTTTAGGAACTGTAGGAAACGGCTCTCCAGCGCACTTCCCGAGGAGTCCAAACACACCATGTTTGTTTTGCTGATAGAAAGACCCTGACGAACGTGTAATCACGAGACATTCAGCAATCAGAGTGTGCTATGTAAATACAACATAATTTATTGGTTCAATTTCAGAGAACTATAGTGGTATTTGTATGAGTGTCCTAACAATAGTACAAGAAACGAGAGTCACGTTACGTACAGAGATTCCAGGACACAGCAAAACTTTGTAAGGAAGAAGTGGTTAGTGGTACAGTTTGGTCACTGTTCATAGAAACCTTTTCTCTTACTGTAAACCCTGCTCCCCCACTCCCCCCAAATCCTAGGTAGACCTATCTACCTACCTTGGGGGTACTGCAAAGCTCTCATCACGCAGCGGAGTTGCTTGTGCAAGCAGCAGGCAAGGCTAGTGGTCTCTGGCTGCACACCAGAGACTTTGGTTACGAGATGTGCGCAGCTGAGCGAGGGGATGTGCCGCTCGGGAAGAGGGAGAAGGCTCCGTACCCTAATGGGAAGCAGAAAATGGTCCACACACAGCCAGTGAGGCCGGAGGGCGAGCAGCCCAGTTCCTTCTCAGCAGGGTCAGCGTACCACAAGGAGATGGGGAAGTGCAGGTGTTTGAGAAGAAAACTTCCCCACGCCTGTCCCAGCGCCCTCCCTCTACTCATTCCCACGAGGCACAGGTCTGCTTGGCCTAATGCTGCCGGCGCAGATCCCCATCCCCCGTGGGGATGGTGCGCCTGGAGCCACAGCTGGGCCGTGCACAGGGAGCAGCTCAGCTCAGAGCTGCTGTAAGAGGCAAGAGTGGATTCTCAACAGCAGCGCTCCTGCACAGACTCCATCAGCAGTGGCAGTGCTGGTCTAGCCATGAAAGAAACCAAAGTCCAACTTCGTTCAGAGGGAAAGCAAGGAGGGCCAAGCCTTGGGGACAGGATGCCAAGCGGGGGGTGAGCACAAAAGCAGCTCTGTCCAAAAACTGGACTCACAGCCAGTGGAAGAGGTGCTGGAACCAAACAGCACCCCAGGGGATCCACGTACACCAGCATTTCTTCCCCAATCCCCAGGTAACCTCCCTTCGCGGGTGGGAAATGGGTGCCTGGAGGGAAGTACCGCTTCCATGGCAGCACCAGCTACACGACATGGCTCTGTCTGAAGCATCTGGCTCGGCTCGGTTGGTGCTGCTGCAGTGAGGGGATGGGGAAGAGGCAGTACAGGGTGGCTCCTCCCTCCTCAAAGAGCGAGCATTTCCACCAAGTGGCCCAAAATATTTTCTTTTTTTTATAGAAATTACTATAAAAAACTAGTTTATCTAGAGCATCTTTAAAAAAATATTCCTGCAATATCACAGTTTTACATTGAAACTCATTAAAAATATAGATTTCTTTAACAAAACGTCTCTGTTCTCCCCTTGAATCACGTCTCCAATGCAGGAGTGAGACTCGGAGTCCTCAGAAGAGACGCTGAGGTGGGAGCAAGGTCTGATCTCAGTGGCACATCCGGGACGTCATTTCCTTCTGTCAAAGGGACAGACAAGACAAGGGACCATGAATGAAGATCCAGATTGCCAGGTGAGGGTGTGGATGAAAAAACCTCACCTTTGTTTAGTCGTAAATACGCTTCTCAGTAACAGTGTCACCGCGTGTCTAACAGCTCCAGTTTGGGCAGGTCCGTGTTCCCCCCACCACTCCCATTCCCAGGCACCGGCACTGCCCAGCGGCTCTGCAAGTCTGTTCTGCTGCTTATGGCTTTAGAAACACCATCACCTCCTAGGTCTAGGTCACATTAGCCATCCTCCAGACTCCTTGCGAAGGCAGTGGTGTTGTCCTTGCTTTCCGGCATGGGAAGTAAGCACAGGGAGGGGGTTTTAGCCATCCACATCCTGGATGGCTAACAGTGCCAGGCTCATGCACGCAAACAAGGCAAGCCAGCTGCTAGAAACGCAAGGAAGTTGCTGGAGAACAAGTCAACTTCACCCAACCGATGCCCCAACAACCCTGCTCAGCTGTGCCTGCACGTCCTGACTCCCAGTTCCCTGACAGTCAAATTGCAAGGCCAACCGATGTCCTCAATTTGGGCAACCAGTTCTGAGAAGGTACAAGAGACCTCTGTGACACCTCCACCCCCAGCCCACCCCTTCTGCACTGGCTGCAGACCCCAACAGACCAACGTGTAACCGGAGCCCACCCAGGGACTCACCAGTGGTTCCAGCTCCTTGGTGTCTATGAGATTGAACTCTTTCACAAAGTAGTAAAAGTGCTTGTAGCAGGTGTTCACATGGGCTTCCGACCCCATCTGGGTGATCCTGTCGAAATGGTGGATGTAGACGTGGACAAAGACTCGGAAAAGCCTGGAGAGAATCTTCTTCACCACTGGGAGGAAGTTCTTGGGGAAGGGAGTACCTGAGAGGGAAGACAAGACCATGAGAAACTTTTGGCAAAGTTAAAACTGATTCCTTGGGGCTAAAACAAATTGACAAAATGGATAGATTCAGACAAAAGGGCTTCTGTCCCTGGTAATTTCCAGTTCCTCTCTCCTTTCTTCTTTCTGTTCGGATCAGATTTTTCAAAGCACAGATTTCTGAAGTGACAGAGTGCTACACGCCATCGATCACTGCTAGTGACTGAAAGCAAGAGACCAGCCTTGCAGATTCCCAGCAGCTGTTTCAGTCTGATACAGTTTTCTTCTACTCCTATTTGGCATGTTTATATAAACAGTGCAAAATACTAGATACAACCAAACAACTTCCCAAAAGAAAGAGTCACTGCTGTTAACTCCCCACAGTTAATCTCTTATTTTGATATGTCTTTAGCTCTTTGGTTAAAAATTAAAGACTTTAAGGTCCTTTTTAAAGGCATCAGTTCTTTGGGATTTGTTTAGCCACGGCCCTGCAGCTGAACAGTCTGCCCAACCAGCCATCTCAGTCGAATATTACAGTTTAAAGTTCACACAGGTCATCATTTCTGGAGGAACGAGGATTAGTTAAACCCTTTCAGTGCTCTGCAGGAACTGCAGCATTTCAGTCAGCATTAAGGGCAAGGAATCTGGTAAAAGCTGAGCTGAAAACAACAATAACAATTAAAAAAACACAAACCACAACCCTCCTGCTGTCGGAAACTTGTCTTGCCTCCCCGAACAGAACAAACACCCTGCTTATAGTCCCCAGAGAATCCTGCAGAAGAGTCCTAACTAAAGGCAACACAGCAATCGTTTGGGCGACAAGAGGAACGGGTGGGGAGGATTTCGGTGTTTCAGCTGTCTGAAGAACTGGTTGGTTATGGCCCTGCTCCTTGCCTCTGCCCGCTCAACACCAGGTTTAAGCAGCATTTTGGCACGGGTGGAGGAGCCCCGCGGATGCTTGTGTGGCAGAGGCAGCAGACGTGTCCCAAACAGGGGCCAAGTACAGCCCATCAGAGCTTCGACGGGATAAACGCTGGGGCAGGAGGGAGGGAGCTCTGCTGCATCTTGTCTTTTGCATCCCAGAAGATGGGAGCTCGGAATGGGATCAATCATATTTACCTAATGCTTTAGATACTGAATTCTCACATCTTATTCAACACAAAATAAACAAAAAACCCAACAATCTTTGTCCCAAAGCCAGTACACGAAGCTGCGTTTGGATATGCAGATTTAGGTGTCCTAGGCCAAACTCTTGTTTCCATCACCCTGGCAATAGATAAAACACTGCCCCTCCCTCCATGCACATGTCAGCATCCCACCCAGCTGCAACAAACAGCTGAGTGCATGCCAGGAAGCACTGAGCTAGAAAGGGCAGAGTCAGCTAACGCCAGCCTGTAATAACAAAGAGGCTAATTATGGGAACGTGGCCACCATCACCAGGCCGACGCAGAGCACGCACGTTGAACCCAAGCTAGCAATCAGCTGTAAAAGAGCTGTCCTTCAGGAGACCACGTCCAGCATGAACTACTCGAGAGTCATGTCAGAGACTGACTTTTCTAAGAGCAGCCTCTTGTTTTCGCTGCTTAGGCTCAGCTTGGCTTTCCTCAAGGTATCCATGACTCCAAATGGGATCTGGTACAGCTCTAGGTATTTTAGCACTCCAGAAGAGCTCTGAAGTTTCTCGGGTGCTCAGAAGAGCTTACTACACTGCCAGCCTCTGAGTGGCACAAAAGGAAATAGTTCTGCTACAAGGGTGACCTGTGCAACAGCATCTCCTGGAACAGAAATGGGATCTGAGGGCTCAAAGCAGAAGGCTCTGCACCAGCCCCCCTCCCCCCATGGCCACTGGAACTGAACTCACCAACATTAGTGGGAAAGATGTCCTCGTTGTTGATCTGTACCTCAATCCAGTCCATCAGGAGGTTCATGTACTGGGGAGCAGACAGGGCTGTTGGTTTCCGGTACTTGTGCTCATCCTGCCATCGGTACTCGTACTTGGGTCCCCCCGACATGACGGGGCAGGACTGCTCTGTGCAATAGTCACTGATGGTGCCGTAGATCAGGTTGATGCGGTTGAAGAAGTCCACCACGTGCACGGCCACCCAGTCGTTCTGCTCCTCTCCTGGCGGCAGCTGGACAGCAACTTTCAAGTCCAGGCCAGCGTTGAGTGAGGCTTGAGCCTTCTTGTGCAGCTCAAACCGCTGAGTCCCCGGCTCAAACTTGCGCTTGGGTCGGAAGGTTTTGTCTTTATTGAACACTTGCTTTAAAGCATGGGACATTTTTTTTCTCTTCTTCTTTCTTTTCCAGGTCCGTAGCGATGACAGCTGGAGACGCAGCACTGCTGGGCCACTTCCCGGGGCAGGGCTGGGGCAACTCTGATCTGAAACCTCACAGAAACCTCCCTCTGCTCATCTGGTCCTGATCTGCAATGCAGCACAGAAGGGCAGCGATTAGGAGCAGCTCTCTCAACAGGAAACCTTGTCTAAATCCCATAGGAAGAGATCTGGGATACCATCTGGGCCCTCGCCCCAGATCTGAGAAGGCGGGGAAGCCAACGCCAGCTTTCTTTCCTCCCCCTTCTCTTTTACAGCCCAGCTTGCAGCAGAACAGAGGCTTGGCTGTCAGAGGTGACCTGGGCTGAACAGTCACCCCTGCAAGGTCTCCCTTGCTCAATGTGGGGATGAGGGAACCAGCCCCACAGCCCCATAGGGAAGAGGTGTGATGGGAAGGGGCAAAATGAGACATCAAGGCGTAGTCCCCCCGTGCCCCCCAGCGCACCCTCTGCAGGAGATCGCTGCTATTCACCCCGACATCATCACACGAAGAGACCCAAACCCCACAGAAGCAAGGAGAAACTCCACCATCAGCAGCACCTATTCAGCTCCAATACACCAAATAGTTAAGAAGGGTAAAACTTGAAGTTGGGTTTTACCTGGATCAGATTTTTCATCTACACTTCCCCCCCCTGCTTTGGAAACAAGCCTACCTAAAAGGTAAGGTTATGACAACCTACAACAAAGTTCAGATCTGCTGCCAGACGTACTCCAACAAAACAGCCGTTTGAGCAGGAGCTGCATGTGCTGTCATAGCACTAAAGACAGGACAGGAAAGGGCAGAGGGGAACAAGAAGAAGAAGAAGAAGTTGCAGCTCAGGCACCCGGAAAGAGAATATCCTGAAATAACACCAGCTCTAAGAGCAGCCACAACCTCTTCTGCAGGTGCAGACAGACCATAAACATATTTTTCATTTAAGTTTAGCTCACTTCAAGTTGAAGGCTGGTTGAAAGCTGGAAGACCAGGGAAAGCTTGCCTTCCTCTTCCAATCTGTGGAAAAGAATTAGCTCCAAGAGGGTGAGACACAAGTTAAGATCTGAAAGGATGCTGACGAGAAACACAGCTCTGTTTATCTGTAGCTAATTATACCTCCTTTGTTCCCACATCCATCCCCTCGTATAATTTGTGTCAAGCTGCTCTTTGAAGGGAGCTCAAGGCAGAAAGCTGTGTGTACCAAAAATATTATTTTACATGTGCTGGACAGAGAAATAAATAAAGTAATAGAAATTAACTAAAGCTGATGCCTTACTGAATCTGGCAAATGAGAGTTTCCATAATTTTATAAGAAAGCAAGCAAACAAATCCCTTTCACCAAGCAGAAATCTAGCTAGATTTATATGAAGCCATAGTGTTGTTCAAATAGGTACAGTATCCTCAAACGTTGGCAAGAAAATCCCAAATTCAAGGTCAAAACTACCTTTGCTGCAATTCAGCCCATCTCTAACAGATGCTGCATAGTGCTAATCAGCATTTCTTCTCTGGAGAAAGATTAAAAAGATTTAAACCAAGGCCTCTTGTTTTCTTATTTAATTACAGTAAGGAAGAAAACCCAAACCACTTCAGTTTGTCCCACTAACAACAGGCTCAACATTTCCTAGCGCTACTTTTCCTGCAGGAACAGGCTCAGTAACCTTTTCGGTGTGGGAGCAGAGAGATCCAAACTCCTGTCGCAACGTGGGCCACAACATGTGTTGGGAGAAACTGAAAAGGCATTTTAATGTGGTTTGATGAGATTCACCCTGGGCTGCAAGGTGAGTTCACTGTATGCATGCTTTCGCTGCACACAGTGCTGCGAAAACAGCTGCTGCGACCCCGCAAGCTACCGTGTGAGAGTCAAAAAAAAAGAAAAATAAGAAAACCCACAGAAGACGTGTCCTTAGGAGGTGTTTGATCACACCACAGACATGGTTAGAGGAAGTAGCGAACGGCGCAGAGGGACATCTGAGCACGAGGCAGCAGCTTTGGTTACCGAGAGCTGTGTCACAGCCTCACCACATCCTGCGGCAAAATGCCGAGGCGACCCGGCGGGGCGGAAGCACCGGGGGACTGTGCCCACCCTGCTGTGGTGCCACGTCCGGAGCGAAGGCAGGACCAGCCTCCAAGTAACCAACAATGTGGACAGCAGGTGCTGAGTCTGCAGCTATTTCCAGCAGGAAATCAGTCCCAGAGAAGCACTTGCACGCAATGATTTCCTTACACTGGAGATGGAGAAAGAAATGTCCTTTAAAACAAACAAGCCATAAAGAAGCATGAGCATCACCCTCCATACAGCTCCCTGGAGGACCGGCAGCATCCTCGGCACGGTATGACTCTGTTCCTGCTTATTTTCTGTAAGATCTGTCTGATTCCAGGCAGGCATCGTCCCTTCCGCTGGACAAGGACATGTTTCTCGAGCAGGGGTTAGGCTGCGGGTGCAGGGCCCGGCACAGAGAAGAGAATGGGGTGAAACAGAACGGCAAAACTGCTGAGAAAAAAACCAAACATCCCCTGGGCTTGGCCACGCATATCAAGAAGCAAATGCCAACCATTTTCCAGAAGAAATTGTCACTTGAGCAGGATGAAGAGGCTTTTAATATGTTTTATTTGGTATCAAGGCAACATCTGCCCTATAAACAACTTCCTCTTCCTTCGGAGACATCATTCATGAGAACTGGGGAGCTCAACACAGCAGCAATCGTCTCTCAGACGATTCAGCATCTGTCTGAAGGTATTAGCAAAATGAGTAGCTAAGACTTCAAGCAGATGCAGCCTATTTAATTATGGTCTTTGACTGCAACTGAGCTAAAAGAAACATTTAGCTCTAGGGAGGGGAAAAAAAAAAAAGCCAGGCACAGAGACCAAAAGCAACCCTGACATTGCTTGAAGATGATATCACATGTACAACACCTACTTCCACAGGCAGGAGTCACAGCTCGGGCAGCACTAAGAGACTGCCTTTGCACAGAAGAGAAAGGAAAGGTTAGGAACAATTAGGATATGGAACATGCAAAGCACCTGAATGATATTTGCAAGCTTCAAAGATGAGGAAAGAAAAACCAACCCCACAAATAAACCTGCAGTACATTTTGTTTACTCTTCCTTTCTAGCCAGCCAAGATTACAGCACACGTCACCGGTGCTCCGAGAGGACCTTGGCCATCCCTCCGAGATCACACAACCGCCGCAGAAAGCCTCACGCCATGGCAGGCTGTCCAGAACACAAACAAACCTCCAGCTTCTCTGCTATTCCCAAGGACACGAAAGGAGCAGCTCAGTGTTACGCTGGTTAAGGAGGCAACTTGCCTGCCCAACGAGGAGTGTTGAGGCCTAGCCCTCTCTTCCCTTCCCCAAAAGCTTGGTTTTTGTCCTTACTCCCTGCTCTCACAGCTCCAGTTCTAACGCTGATTTCTGCTGATGGCAATCCAGGGCAGGGCTACGTGTATCGCCCTGCCGTTCCTCTTCCCTCGCCAGAACAGCAGATCATGCAGTGCTGCCTTACTTTAAAGCCAGGCTCTGGGTAGAGGAAGCCCAGGCAGTCGCTTCCCCGTCTCTTGGTTACTTTTACATGCAGCTCAGAGAGGGTACGGAGAAAGGAAAGACAAATCACCTCCTCCGAAACACCTGGAAGCTGCCTCCCCTTGCAACCTGCTGCAGCTATCCTGAGGTCTTCCAGGAGCAAGCAATGTTCCCACTGGATCCTGCCCTCCCCGCAGAGGCAGAACAGCCCGAAACCCTCTTCCAGGAGTCCCATGACTGCTCCGTCAGCGCCTGCCCCAACCAACACCCAGCGCTCCCTTCCGCCGCTAACACTGTGCAGGGGTTTAACAACAGCCAGGGAAAAAAAAAAAACCAGAAAAAGCAAGCCAGCGCATCAGCAAGCTCCTACCTGCGTTTCTCGCCTCGGCAGAATACTGTTGCAATTGCTCAGCCCGTCTCTGCAACTTCTACGAGCGTTCGTAGGCACTGAGGCAAAGAGCTTCCTTTTTTAAAACAAGGAGGGAGAAAAAAAAAAAAAAAGTCCCGTTTCATGCGTGGCTGCAATCCAAAGGCTGCTGCAGGCTGGGGAGGGGTCAGAGATGCGGCCACTTCCCTCCCAGTGACCCCAGTGCCGGGGCAGCTCACATCCTGCTGCCTCACTGGTAAGAAAGCCCTTAAGCAAACCCCAGTGAGCAATGCATTTCTCAAAAGAATTGATTTCTCTAGTTTCCTTTTAGGGAAGCCACGCTGCTGTCCTGTGAGATGATACCAATATGGTATCGCTGCTCAGCATTCACATCGAGTCCAGCCGAAAGCTCCTTCTGCGGCTGCTTGTAATTGCAGCCCTTGGGTGACAAGCCCGTGCCAGTCACCCCATCCCCACAGCTCCCCGGAAGGGAGAGGGGAGCAACGAACCTCCGCCTTCGCCCCGAGCCATTTTCAGTGTCTTTACTCACCGCTAATGCCGTCACTCAGGCCAGAGTTTACAATACAGGACACAAAACCACCCATGCCAGTTTGATAAAGCAGCCACAATATATCAGATGCATCGAGTGCTTCAAAACCGAATTTACAGAGCACGCCCAAGAAGCAAAGTGGCTTCAAAATACACAACTTAGACAAGAAAGCAAAGATGGGGACACACACGCATTTTTTCCATCACTCCCCCCACCACCTTCACAAATACCTTCTCTCAGGCATTCTGCACTAGCTCAGTTTCTCGGTACAAGATGATCCTGGTTTTCTACGATCACAGGAGAGATTTTAATACGGAGAGCAAGGATCAGACCAATTACAGCAAGCGGGGCTGGACTGGCACTAATGACAGCCACTTTTTTGCCTCTGGAGCCAGCGTGGCAACAAACGAGACAGCTCGCCTTCGCAGGATGAGGATTCCGGCTGCTCTTTTGAATTGTTTTACGATACGAGCAATGAAGGTCTGTCCCCGTGCTTACCTCAGCCAGGGCAGGGCACGGTGAGGAGCGTGTGGGGCAGGAGAGGAGGGCCGAGCGCGGCTGCGGCAGGCACGCCTGGCCATTCATAATCCCGGCGAGACGGCACTTCCACGTCAGCCGGCTTCCTGTTTGGCACCGAGTCCGGCCTCCCGGCCCAGGGAGCTGCCAATGTTTTCCCAAAAGTGAGTCATTCCCCTCTACAAGCTCTGTCGTGGTGTTTCTGTCTTTTCTCCTGCGAGATCGCTCCAAGCCGCCGCGCGAGGAGAACCGAGCAGCTGCCCGGCGTTACCCTCAGCATCGCCTTTTCTTGTTTTTCCTCCCTGCTTGCTCCTGGCAGCAGAAGCTGCTCTAAAGTTAAAGGAGAGGGAGCCGAGAGTGGAGCCAGCCCAGCTGCACCTACAGCCCCAGGCTGGGCGAGACACCAGCAGCGAGTTCGTTCTGCAGCTCTGCAGGACAATATCCACATTTTTCTCTTGGAAACTGCTTTAGTAGCAGTCTTCGCAACAAACTTAACAGAGCCATTCAGAAATGCACATTTGAAATGTTGAATTCCCAAGGTTTAGGCAAACAAAGAGCCCTTTATATTTCACCACAAAGTCAGTTTTAAGAAAGTCCTGCTGGTCCCCAGCCCCCCCCCCCCCCCGCAATTTTAATCTGCTGCACAATTTGGAAATTCCCAAGTAAGAAACTGTACAGACACAGCATCTCCCTGGCACTTGCCGGAAAGAGGCTTGCTTAGGAGCAGGACGGTCTCTTTACATGCCTCCAAGCCATGCAAACACAGAGCCTATCTGCATCGCCATATGCATAAGAAAAGGCAACAGCATAATAAAAGACCAAAAATAGTTATACTGGGCTTTAATTGGTATCTTCTTTTTCCCCTGAAAGGCTATGCATTCAGACCAATTTTAAAGTCAAGTTAGCTTACATAATAAAGGGAAAAGCCCTGTTAAATTAAGCCATAGCTGAGTTAGGAGAAGACCCAGCCGACACAAGCGCAGCAGCTCTGGCAGAGCCCATCAGGCAGCTGCCTGCTGCAGCCTGCGCCAGATGGAAATGCCGCTGCACTGAGTGGAAAGCACCAGGTCACTGAGCAGCAAGAGGCACTTCTCAACCATCACGAGCAAGATGGAGGAGCAGAGGCAGTTCACTGCTCAACTCTGAGCCCAGGATTTAGATCCAGACCACGTGGCGACGACGGGAGGGACGTTACAGGTCTTGTGTGATGGAGCTCACACCGCAAGCGGATACTGAGGGGAGGCAGGTAAGGGAGTGAGCACCGATGGGGCTGGATAATCCTTTCTGGCAGGAGAGAGCGAAGACCGAATCGCCTGCAAACTCTGCGTGCAAGAAGACTGAATTTTCAACGTGGGTTGTCCCCCCTGGCCTTCCAGGCATCCTTCCCACAGCCACAGAGGGTGGAAAAGCCACACAAGAAAGTAACTTTTGTAAAAGGTCATCCCTCCTACTTTCTCTTCCCCAAAAGGGGAAGGTCAGACAGCAGATGCTGCAATTTAAAAATCTTCATTTGAAGGCCTAGAAATGACTGCAGTATAACAGGGACAGCTAGTAGAGCCCTGAGCACTACTGATTTAGGGCCAATTTTCTTGCCTCTTACGTGACATCTGCATCTATTGCAATGTCAGAGCCGCAGCTATTTTGGAAGGTTTCCACAGATCACGCTACACATCCACACTGGGATGACGGCTGCATGTGGAGGCAGAGCTAATCCGCTGCAGGCTTTGCAGACGCTGCGTTAAGCTGACAAGCTGGGTCACGACTCTAGGAGACAGGTTAACTGCACAGACAAATATTTCTAGGATAAACCACAGGCAGTGGGTGGCTGACGGCATGCTAAGAGCAGCTCTCTCTTTTTGAGGTCTCAGGGGCCATATTTTGCAGCCTGCTCCTTTGGGAAGACCTTTCACTGTTGTCCAGCCTGACTTTGTCCCCCAGTGCAGGACTCATAAGGGGCAGCGTGATATTTATCGAATCCGAGCTGCAAGCTACATGTTTCTTCCTGCTTTTGCAGGCTCCACATTACTGTCCTCACTGGGCAGGGATATTTTTTTGAACCAACAGCAGTTTCATCTACTCTAACTTTGGGATCTGCCCCCACCCAAGCAAAGGTAACACTGGTTTGGAGCATGAATTTTGCCTTAGGTTGATAAAATGACTACAGCAAGAGACATTGCTTTAACAGTGTAGCTTCGGGTCCAAGATCACAGGAGGTGCCAGGGCTATGAGCTCCTTCACCCAGGGACTGAGCCAGACCACGAGCTGGCCACACGGCCAACCTTTCCCATGGCAGGGCTAATCCCACCGACAAATACCTCTTTTCCCCATGTTAATATTACGCTTTTGGAAGAAAAGCAGTATTGTTTCTCCCTGAAAGCAGATGCCCACAAGGCTTGCTCTTCCCCTCCACGAGGAGATATGGCAGTAACCCAACACATTAGCATGTCTCCAGGCAAGGAATAAGCCCACTGATGTGGAGCTAGAGATCACCTCAAGACTAACCGCATCATAAGACCTCCTGCCACACAGTGAGGGGAAAAAGAAGAAAGAAAGAAAAAAAGAAAAAAAGGCCCAGACAGCAGCCCCAAGAAAAGCCTGCGGTTAAGATGAAGAAAAAAATTACAGCGCCTTTCAGTGCAGCCATGGGCCTGACTCAGCTCCTGCTTCAAACTGAAACAGGTTTTGGATGGCTCTAGCTCATATTCTGTTCCACAGGCTCCCTCAGAGCCAGTGCAGAGGCATGCAGCCACCGCTGCAATTCACCCAAACCCAGCCAGTCCCCAAGCAGGCAAGGCACTGAGCGCGGCCACAGCAGGACAATTCCCCCACGGCACAGCCCTATGCCAGTAGCACACGGGAATGGCCGGCAGTGTCACCACGTTTGCCTCTTCTCAAACTGACTCAACAACAACAAAGTCAAGCACCTAGGGACTTCATCCAGACTTTTCTGGAGGAAGGCAAAGCTGCCATAGCGTGATGGATTTTTTTGTGCTGGCTTTGCACACTTGAAGAAGTGTTTTTTTTTCCCGGCCTTGCTGCCTCCATTCCTCCCCTCTGCTACCTGGCTGCTTCACGTACTCGGAGCAACAATTTGCTCATTTCATCAGGAGCAGAACAGCACTTTTAGCACACCACCAGCTCCAAAATGAAGCAAGTAGCAGACCAAAACAGGAGGCACAGATAACTCTGCATCCCAGGGTTGTCTGAAAAAGGAAGGATAAAGATTCAGCCTAAGGTGCACTCTTTATTGAAAGCATTAGCTGGATATTACGTATTTCTAAAGATAAGCTCCTAAACCTCCAGCAAAGCTGGTTATGGATCCACTCACAGTAGCGTTTATGGCTCAAGTATCACAAAACACTTTCCTGTCTTATAAGAAATTAAAACTCAGAAGTGAAGGCAATTCTTTCCCCAGATCTGAACGCTGTGCGCAGAACTGGTTAGGTTTTGCAGTCTCTCTTTGACCCCACATGCTTTCACTGCTGACAAGGGAAACATTTTTCCTTTGTGTACTGTGGCTGTAGAGATACCTGGCCCATTTACAGAGAAGCATGAGTTACAAAACACAGCACACATCAGTACAGTCCAGCCTCCACAAATGGGACTAAATTGCACCGTTTCACTTTGGGTGGTACTTCACATCCCATCAACAGGAGAGCCATGTTAGAGCCAAATGTGGACAAGGAAGCATTTGGCCAACAGGTCCTGCACTAGAGGACAACTGAAGTCATGAAGGAGGACTTCGCTCAAGATGCTGAGTACGCTTCAAGCTCCCTAAGCCCCAGCCAAGTGGACAGGAGAGCCCGTTTCCATTTCTGACGATGGCACAGTTGACTGCCCAACCCCAAGAAGCGTGTCCAAAAGAGCATCCCAGATCCTGAAAGGTGAGCCAGGCACAGGGAACCAGCTCCCTGCTCAGTACCTGGACTCAACTCCTCAGTATAAACCAAGAGCACCAGTTTTTGCTATCACACCACCAAGCTGGCGTGAACTCCCAGAACTCCTCTCCTCCCTTTCTG